AAAAAAAAAAAAAAAAAAAAAAGAGCAAAACTCCATCTCCAAAAAAACGTAATAGCTTCCATCACCTTTGGAACTGAGCCACTATTCTCCCAGCTGCCAGTCAGCACTAACTTGTAACCCATGTGACGGAGCCATCTTGGTAGCAAATCCTCCAGGCTTGAGGGAAGCCACCTCAGCTGATGCCATGTGGGGAACAGGTGAGCCTTCCCCTATAGCCCTTTGCAAATCAAAGATTCTTGAGAAAATATATTATTGTGGTTAAGCTTTCAAGTTTGGGGGCTATAAAAATGAATAATGAGAACAGTCAGAACTCAAGGAAACATCCATGATCAGGAAGGGCAATATAGCTGGGTCTCAATGTATACTGGAATATATACCTTGAGGAACAGGAGGGCCTTCCAGGATCTAATATGAGTCAGGTAACTAGATTATCTTTGTACACCTGGGTATCATCAGGATCCAATTAGTAGACAGAAACACTAGCTTAAACAAGGTAAGCTTAAATAATTATTCTTTGTAATGGGATAGAGTAACAGGGAATTGAAGACAAAGGATTAACTGGGGGTTGGGGAGAGAACTCTAAAGAATATAGGAATCGTGGATATAGGGAACAGCCACTATCCCTCGTGCTGAGACAGAGCATTCAAATGAGAGGAAAATCTGGAAAAGCCTCTTCATCCCTGTGGACTGAGGTCTGAACCTCATTGGTGAGGGAGCAGCTGTGGCACAACGGATTGTGAGAAGTTACTGGGGTTCCACACTGGTAGGACTTGATGGGAATCTGGCTTCTGCAGAGCAGGAGAGAAACCTTCCACAGGAGTTGGACACAGAAGCAACAGAGCAAAATGAATAAAACCATAAGCTGGTTCTTTAAAAAGATCAAGAAAATTAATAAACCTCTATTTAGACTATCAAAAAAATGGCAAAGACAAAAATTATCAGTATTATAAATGAAAAAGAGATATCACCAGACCCTCTAGACAGTAAAATGATAATTAGGAAATACTACTAAAAAAAACGTTATGCCTATAAATTCAACAACTTGAATGACATGGACTAAATCCTTGACTATAAACTATCAAAATTCACTCAAGAAGAAATAGATAACCTGAATAATCCTATATAATAAAATACATTGAATTTTTAGTTGAAAACTTTCCTATGAGAAAAACTGGTTTCATTAATCATATATATATATAAAATATATATTATCTTTTTAATTGCACTTTAGGTTCTGAGGTACATGTGCAGAAACATGCAGGATTGTTGCATAGGTACATACATGGTAATGTGGTTTGCTGCCTCCATCCCCCCATCACCTGTATCTGGCATTTCTCCCCAACCTCCCTACCCACCGCTGTCCATCAAACATAGTGTGTGTGCTCCCCTCCCTGTGTCCATGTGTTCTCATTGCTCAACACCCGCCTATGAGTAAGAAAATGTGGTGTTTGATTTTCTGTTCTTGTGTCAGTTTGCTGAGAATAATGGTTTCCAGAGTCATCCATGTCCCTACAAAGGACACGAACTCATCATTTTTATGGCTGCATAGTATTCCATGATGTATATGTGCAAGAATTTCCTTGTTCAGTCTATCATCAATGGGCATTTGGGTTGGTTCCAGGTCTTTGCTGTTGTAAACAGTGCCACAGTGAACATACGTGTGCATGTGTCTTTATAAAAGAACAATTTATAATCCTTTGGATATATACCCAGTAATGGGATTGCTGGGTCAAATGGAATTTCTGTTTTTAGGTCCTTGAGAATCATCACCACACTGTCTTCCCCAATGGTTAAACTAATTTACACTCCCACCAAGTGTAAAAGTGTTATTTCTCCACATCCTTTCCAGCATCTGTTGTCTCCAGATTTTTTAAGGATCACCATTCTCACTGGCGTGAGATGGTATCTCAATGTGATTTTGATTTGCATTTCTCTAATGACCAGTGATGATGAGCATTTTTTCATGTTTGTTGGCATTATATATGTCTTCTTTTGAAAAATGTTTGTTCATGTCCTTTGCCCACTTTTGAATGGGTTTATTTGTTTTTTTCTTGTAAATCTGTTTTAGTTCTTTGTAGATTCTGGATATTAACCCTTTGCCAGATGGGTAGATTGCAAAATTTTTTTCCCATTCTGTTGGTTGCTGGTTCGCTCTAATGATTGTTTCTTTTGCTGTGCAGAAGCTGTGGAGTTTAATTAGATCCCATTTGTCTATTTTGACTTTGGTTCCCAATGCTTTTGGTGTTTTAGTCATGAAGTCCTTGCCTATGCCTATGTCCTGAATGGTTTTGCCTAGGTTTTCTTCTAGGATTTTTATCATGTTACGTCTTATGTTTAAGTCTTTAATCCACCTGGAGTTAATTTTGATGTAAGGTGTCAGGAAGGGATCCAGTTTCTGCTTTCTGGGCACTGCTAGCCAGTTTTCCCAACACCATTTATTAAACAGGGAATCTTTTCCCCATTGCTTACTTTTTTCAGGTTTGTCAAAGATCAGATGGTTGTAGATGTGTGGTGAGGCCTCCGAGGCCTCTGTTCTGTTCCATTGGTCTATATCTTTGTTTTGGTACCAGTGCCATGCTGTTTTGATTACTGTAGCCTTGTAGTATAGTTTGTTTCAGGTAGCATGATGCCTCTAGCTTTGTTCTTTTCGCTTAGGATTATCTTGGCTATGTGGGCTCTCTTTTGGTTCCATATGAAGTTTAAGGTGGTTTTTTTCAGTTCTGTGAAGGGGGTTACAGGTAGCTTGATGGAGATAGCGTTAAATCTATAAATTACTTTGGGCAGTATGGCCATTTTCACGATATTGATTCTTCCTAACCATGAGCATGGAATGCTTTTCCATCTGTTTGTGTCCTCTCTTGTTTCTTTGAGCAGTGATTTGTAGTTCTCCTTCAAGAGGTCCTTTATATCCTTTGCTAGTTGTGTTCCTAGGTATTTTATTCTCTTTGTAGCAATTATGACTGGGATTTCACTCTTGATTTGGCTCTCTTTAAGTCTGTTATTGGTGTATACAAATGCTTGTGATTTCTGTACACTGATTTTGTATCCTGAGACTTTGCTGAAGTTGCTTATCAGTTTCAGGAGATTTTGGGCTGAGACAATGGGGTCTTCTAAATATACAATCATGTTGTCTGCAAATATAGACAATTTGACTTCCTCTTTTCCTAACTGAATATCCTTTATTTCTTTTTCTTGCCTGATTGCTCTGGTTAGAACTTCCAATACTATATTCAATAGGACTGATGAGAGAGGGCATCCTTCTCTACTGCCAGATTTCAAAGGGAATACTTCCAGTTTTTGCCCATTCAGTATGATATTGGCTGTTTTGTCATAAATAGCTTTTATTATTTTGAGATATGTTCCATCAATACCTACTTTATTCAGAGTTTTTAGCATAAAGGTTGTTGAATTTTGCTGAAGGCCTCCTCTGCATCTATTGAGATAATCATGTGGTTTTTGTCTTTGGTTCCGTTTATGTGGTGGATTATGTTTACAAACTTGCATATGTTGAACCAGCCTTGCATCCCTGGGATAAAGCCTACTTGATCATGATGGATAAGCTTTTTGATGTGCTGTTCGATTCGGTTTGCCAGTATTTTATTGAAGATTTTTGCATCTATGTTCATCATGGATATTGGCCTAAAGTTTTCTTTTTTTGTTGAGTCTCTGCTGGGTTTTGGTATCAGAATGATGTTGGTCTCATAAAATGATTTGGGAAGGATTCTCTCCTTTTGTATTGTTTGATACAGTTTCAGAAGGAATGGAACCAGCTCCTTTTTGTATGTCCGGTACAATTTGGTTGTGAACCCATCTGGACCTGGGCTTTTTTTGGTTGGTAGGCTATTGATTGCTGCCTCTACTTTAGCCCTTGTTATTGGTCTATTCAGGGTTTCAACTTCCTCCTGGTTTAGTCTTGGTAGAGTACAAGTGACTAGGAATTTATCCATTTCTTCCTGGTTTACTAGTTTATGTGAATAAGTAGCTGTCTGTGGTAACGTCTGATGGTAGTTTGTATTTCTGTGGGATCAGTGGTGATATCCCCTTTACCGTTTTCTATTGCATCTATTTGATTCTTCTCCCTTTTCTTTTTTATTAATCTTGCTATTGGTCTATTTTGTTGATCTTTTCAAAAAACCAGCTCCTGGATTTATTGACTTTTTGAAGGATTTTTTGTGTCTCTATCTCCTTCAGTTCTGCTCTGAGTTATTTCTTGTCTTCTGCTAGCTTTTGAGTTTTTTTTATCTTGCTCCTCTAGCGCTTTCAATTTTGACGATAGGGTGTCAATTTTAGATCTTTCCTCTCTTCTCTGGTGAGCATTTATTGCTATAAATTTCCCTCTCAACACTGCTTTAAAGGTGTCCCAGAGATTCTGGTAAATTATGTCTTCATTCTGGTTGGTTTCGAAGAACATCTTTATTTCTGCCTTCATTTCATTGTTTATCCAGTCAACACTCAGAAGCAAGCTGTTCAGTTTCCAAGTGGTTGTGCAGGTTTGAGTGTGTTTCTTGATTCTGAGCTCTAGCCCGATTGTGCCGTAAACAGCCTTTTAAAAAGCTAGAATAATTTTCCACTAGTTAGAACTGAACATCATAATATACAAAAATTTTACAGACTCTGTAATTCAGGTCATTTGGTTTAATTATGACTAATCTGTAGGAATATACAATACAAATTTGTCAACCATCCACAATTAAAAACAACTATGGAGAAAAATTTTACTATGTTCAGAAAAAGATTTTATTCATATTCTTGAAAGATAGCTTTGTTCCCAATAAATATTCCTCCTACGATTTTCATATATTTTAGGAAAAGATGTATTCAATTCAAAAATAAGTAACATCAAGTTATTGGACTTTTTGTTTTTTTCTTGCTTGAAACTGCTCTGTTTTTGTTTTTATAGATTTAACCAACATTGACAAGGCAGGATCAATGGACTTCGTTTGTGATTCCCTTTCAATCTCACTCTCTTTTTTCTTTATTGTCTGAATAAGTTCTTGTTCTTTCTGTTCTCTTTGCCGGGCTTTCTCCTCAAGGATTTTTTCCATAGCTTTTGTTTTCTTGAAATTGGGATCTGAGGGGTCCAAATTGAACAAATGGGAAGTGTACATTGCCTGAAACCGTGCATCACTAACATTTACCTGCAAATCCAAAAGAATAAATAATTAATCAATAAATCAAACAAAATTACTAAAGCAAAAGGCTAGAAATGAGGCCAAATTTAGAAAGTTGGTGAATTGATTATATAAAATACAAACCTGAGCATTTTTATTGATTCATTAGGAAACTGTTTTTCTATAGATCTTTACGGCCCACCTTTGGAACACAATGTGTAGGGCACCCTGTTCTTATTATGCAAGGACAATCTATTTCAAAGAGAATGCTAGTGGGCCCTATATATATTATGGCTGGTAACTACAATGACCACTTAGAATGACTGTAGGATTGGTTTGCGACGCAGGGCTTTCCCATGCTTACACCACAAAATCAATTTCTCACCAGCATAAATAAGCCAATCAGAACATCTTTTGCCGGAGGCCCTGCATTCTGAGTAGGTTTTAAGAAATTTTAATCTTGGTACCAAAAATAAGGAACGATTGAAGGTGATTCATAGATAAAAAGATTAAAAGATCACTACGGCAAAGAATCTATCCAAGATCAAGGTCTGATCAGACACAAGCCCCAAATTGATCTTCTTTCTACAAAAACTTGTGGTTCTACATTTAAGAGTATACCCTTAACTCCCTCCAGCCTTTGAGGGTTGCCAGGCAGGGAGTAACCAGCAAGAAAGTGAAACGCAAGTCCACCTGGAGATGGACCACAGCTCTATGTATGTGAGGACAAGAGACTCAATATCTACAACAAAGAGAAAAATCTCATAAAAAATATCTTTATGCATGGTTATTAATGTCTGAAGGCAGAATGACTGCACATCATTCTTTGCTTTTCATAAGGAAACTAACTCAATAAAAACCTCACTGGAATGGGAGGATATATGAAACTGACTCAAATAATGGAAGCCACAGAGTAGCCTTTGAATCCTTCTATACACTACTTAGAAGCCATCTGTATATTACCCTCCATTGTTTGAACAAATTCAAAATTTCCCAAATATCCCCCATCTTATTCAGGGTCAGTTCTTCCACGTTAATGGTTGGAAGTCATTAAGCAGTTCCTAATAGCTGTTTGTAGATTTTCAGTAGAGGGCTCAAACTCATGCTTAGGGGACTCTATAGCTATTAGGAACATGTACTCAATAAGAGGAAGGAGTAATGGAACAAAAAACACAGAAATTTAAAAAACATGGCTTACTGCACTGGCCACTGCAAACAGTGAGAGTGTGGTCCAATGTGACATGAACCTGCTATTCAAGCATATCTTTCCTGGTCTGAGGATCACTATATGTGATTCTAACATTAAAAACTACACATTTTTTACACTGTGGGGGAGCCAAAACAATTAAAAAAAAAACCCAAAAAACAAAAAACAAAAAAAAAACCCTACACATTTTTGGTACAATACGGCCACTAAAATACAAGTCAACTATTTCACCTGGTGCTCAATCAAAGAAACAATAATTTCATCCACCAGGGATGAACTGGCTGCGCTGGACTAAAAGAGAGTAGCTTTGGCTCCACCATCAGTCTTTTTGAAGACATTTTCTTTCTTTCTTTTCTTTTTCTTTTTCTTTTTTTTTTTGAGACAAGGTCTTGTTCTGTCGCCCAGGCTGGAGTACAGTGGCATGATCATGGCTCACTGAAGGCTTGACTTCCTGGGCTCAAGTGATCCTCCCACCTCAGCTTTCTGAGTAGCTGGGATTACAGATGTGTGCCACTATGCCTGGCTAATTTTTATTTTTCATAGAGATGATGGTCCCACTATGTTGCCCAGGCTGGTCTCCAAATCCTGGGTTCAAGTGATCCTCAGGCCTCGGCCTCCAAAAGTGTTGGGATTATAGACGTGAGACATTGCACCTGCCCCTAAGACATTTCCAAGGGTAACTTTGACTATGCTCAATATCTATCTGCACAACTGACTTCAGATTCAATTCCATCTTTAAGAGGCTAATGACTGGTATCCATGGTTACCTCAAAGTCATCCTCTATTAATTCCTTCTTTTTCATGAGCTGCTTTTTCTTCTTTTTGCTCAGATTCTGGTGCTCTACAATCTTGTTGTAATTGAAGTGTTTCTTACCATCCTCGGCTTCATCCATCATAAGCAAAGCCATTTCAGCCTGTGGAGAGCAAAAAAAAATTCAAATGTACAGTGCTTTCCCCCTCCCCCCCAAAAAAAGGAGTATGGGGCACAAGATACCCCTTCTAGGAAAGGAAGACTCAACTGTTAAAACACTGGGGTACCACCTGTCATCTGTAAACTGTGGATTACCAAAACAAAGAGATCTCTGTATAGCAATAAGGTAGAATCTCTGGAAGCAACATTACTGACAGCAGGAGAGATAAAACTTTGTAGTTAAAAACCAGGCCCCACTTCACTTAGTGTGACTCATTGGTAGGCTGCAGGAAGAAGAGTCCTCAAGTACCCTCAAATAAAAAGTTCTCATTTTCACATTATTCTTTCTGCACAATGACACTAAACCTAGCAAATGTTTATTTTGTGATATAAATTATACTTTCTAAATGTGTAACTTTTATCAAGTAGTTTTTTTTTTTTTTGCCTTTACTTTTTCAATACTGATACATTTCTGTGAAGGTAGGATCTTAGCATCTGCTACTGAAATCTAGTAACTGGCTTTTTCCACTAAATGAGTATTTTCTACCAACCATGGGATTAAACAGGAACCCTCAAGAATCAACTAAACAACCATGTACACTAGTGAAAATACAGAGTATGTGCTAGACCTTTGTAGCTTTTCCTATATTACCACTTTAGGCTGCCTCAATTTCCTTTCCTCACTGGCTCTTGTAGCTGCTTTCTTTTCAGAGACATTTTCCACAGAAATTGATTTTCTTTGTTGCTATTTAGACAACTTTGAGTACTGCTGTATATGCAATGAATAGAAAATAGAAGATAAATTAAAATGTAGAGTTTAGGTGGCCAGTCAGGCATACTTTTGGACAGTGACATGAACATCAGCCCTAGGGGCACTGCTGCCTTCAATTCCTGCCTCAGCAAAAGCACATATGTCCCTGTGCCAAAATTACATATGACTCTGGACATAGGGTGTCAATAAAGCATAAGGCTCACTGCATTTCTAAGAAAGAATGTAATTTTGTGCATTAAATTCACATATTCACAATATGAAAAACAGAAATTTGCATTTGATAAGCCACAACCACAAACTCTGTATTATAGGACAGATTCAGATTGAATTAAAATTTATGACAATATTATTTTAACGTTTTAAGAGTATTTTCTGTCTCAGGCATAGTAAAGTTTTTAAATAATGAGATATTTTCCTCTTAATTTATTATTTTTTTTTTTTGGAGACGGAGTTTCGCTCTTGTTACCCAGGATGGAGTGCAATGGC